AGCAGAAATATCTCAGTAGGTTAGATTGGTGCATCATGAAACTTCAAGGAAAATTTTTTTTTCATTAAATGGAGAGCTTTTTATCATTTAAATCAGCAAATTATGTAGATCCAATTTAGGTATAATCTTTTCAGTTCCTGCTGTGACAGATCATGACACTACAAGGACTTGCTCTGACACTTTGGAAAACAGCAGAAAGGGATAAACATCTCACAATCATTTCAGAATTGTGGGTCATTTAAAACAGAAATTTCCCTCGTAGAAATATCTTAATAGGTGTGATTCATGTATCATAGAACTTACAGGAAATATGATACCTGGAGTTATTCAATGGAATGATGGAATCGAGGAACGCTAGATCAGCAGAATGGCAGAATATGTTAAGATGCAGAATGATAGAATATCTCAAGGAAAAGTTTCAAAAAAATAGAATGGCAATAAAATGAAAAATTATTTCCATTCAGCAGGGGAAATTAAAAGAAGTATTGTCAATCTTTGTTAGACCTAAGGGGATAGGGGAACCATGAGGCTTTCAGGCCAATCCTTTAAATTGTTATTATGTTACCATTGTTATCATTGTAAGTATTATAGTTTGTAACCATTTCAATCATTGGTTGAATGTCAAATAGACAATTTATTCTTGAATCGTCTTCCTCTTTTGGAACAGGATTCTTATAAATAATTATGTGAAATGCAGCAGGTTTTCTCTTCTGCTTTTGAGACAAATATTGTGGAACACTACAACCTCTAGTTCTTTTTAATGCTACAAAAAGCAATTAATTATTCCCAAGAATTAGTAAGAGTAGAATACAGTGTAGAGCTGTGTTTAAGTGAGCATCATTTTTCTGGGTAGAGTCTGATGTAACTCATGGCATGACTATATTATCTCTTATCTAAACATGAGACCTAAATCTACAAAACCTGCCATCTTGTTTTATTCTGACTAATGTAATCAAAACATTGTTTCCAGGTTGTTCACTGTAAAGATCAATGTCTTTATAGATTTTAGTTTGGGCTAGTAATAATCCAAAACTGGATTGGTTAAAAGTAATGCAGCCCTAAATCAGTTTTATTATTTTGAATCAGGGTTGTCATTAGTAAAATTAATATCTAAAGTAAGTAGCTGGTGGTTAAATTGAATTCCCCCCAGTATGCTTGCACACATGTAGAAAGCATGGCATGCTGCAATTAAGGAACATTCCCCTCTAGTGTATACTTTCTTGAAAAAATTTTAGATTTAAAATTCATTCAGATGTGATTTTTGGAGTTTTTTGGGAACATTTGAGTAACTTTTTTTAGCCAAACATTGATGTTAAAATCATTTCAAAAATACTTATAATGCTATTTTCTGTCTTTGATCACATTTCACAAAGTAGCTGGTGCAAAATGGTCTGGTCTACCGACAACCCTATTGAGTTTAAATTGTTATTTCCCTTTATTCTTCACTGCTTGTAATTCCTCTTGATTTACATTGAATAAAACTTTCTTTTAGGAATCATGCCTTCATAGTGTAGCCTCTACATCACAGGAAAGCCCAAGTTTGACGGAGAGTAAAGTGCTAAGAGTTACTCTATTGGGTAGTGAATGGAGGTCATCAAAGGGAGGCTTGTCAACCATCAACAGGGAGTTTGCAATTCAGTTAGCAAAACATCCCAATGTTGATGTGAGTGTGTATGTTCCAAGATGTAGCGAGGAGGACAGGAGAGCTGCCAGGAGCCATAATGTTCAACTGATTGAAGCCCAAGAATTGCCCGGTCATGATCAGCCAGTTGATTGGTTGGCTTCATTACCTGAAGGTCATCATCCGCACTGTGTCATAGGACATGGAGTGCATCTTGGTCGACAGATACCACTCATTCAAAAGCAACAACCCTGCAAGTGGATCCAGGTTGTTCACACAGCTCCAGAAGAACTTGGAATGTTTAAAAGTTATGAAGAAGCCATTTTCAGAGGTGAGAAGAAACATCGTGCAGAAGTACAACTTTGTGAGATGGCTGATGAGGTGGTTGCGATTGGACCAAAACTGGCAGATGCCTACTCTCGCTACCTTCGCCCCAGTAAGAAAGATGAGCATGTTGTCACTCTCACCCCAAGTATTTTTACTGAGTTAACATCACAACTT